AGAGCGCGCGCAGTCGCGGCCGGCGGCCGGCGGCGGGCCACGGCGAGGAGGCAGAGGCGCCCGCCGCAGAAGACGAGGCGGCGGGGGAAGAGGCGCTGGGCGGCGCCTGCCCGCCTGATGAGAAGGCGAACACCTGCGGCTCGACGGAGCCGCCGCCGCCGGCTGCAGGGGAGCTCCCGGGCGATGCAGGGGGCGTTGGAGTGGCTGCCACTGCGGACCTGCCCAGCGGCGAGGCGCCGTCCCGGGACGCCTCTGCCGGGGTGGGACCGGCACCGGCTGCCGAACAGCCCGACGCCGCCGAGACGGACCGGCCGCGGGGGCCGACCGACCAGCACCAGGCGCCAGGACCCGGCGGCACGTTCAGCGGTACGATCCGGTTGACGACGCGACCTGAGCGTTGAGTGATGTTTCGTGATCTCTAGTGTCTAACCAGTTATGCATCAAAAATCTAATGCATCAAACGTGTAATGTATCAGAACACCTAATGCTCAAGACCTCTAGTTTACTGCAACACCTAATATATTGTTACACTAAGGGCATTGGTAGTGAAGGGGCTAAGCTGTACCTCCGGGAGGCAAATAGGAGCACCGGATCCACTTCGCCGCGGTACCCGCTCTCCCTGTCGGGGTGAAACGCAAGCGACACTAGATGCGTCAGCAGCTGAGTGCACCGCAATGACACACTAAAGGCAGGAACCCAATACATGAAAACACCTAATGTCTCACAGTCTCTAGTTTAAGACGATGACACGGGCCAAGGTCAACGGTTTTCGACCTCAGGCAGTAGGGGCCACCGCCGACTAGTGGGTTTACCAAAGTCTACAAAGAAGTGTCAGTGGAGAGCCGTTAGAAACACATTTGGGGAAAGTTAGATTGCCAAGCCCTCTGCTCGCTCATTTACCAATTATTTATGCAGATCAACCCCGGATCCGAATAGTATGTAACGGAAGGGATCAAAAGCATGAGACCGACATGATTGTGTATCGAAAGTAGCTAGATTACAGTAAACGTAACTTAGAGCGCATTGGAAAATGATGAATAGAGAATCATCTTTCGGTTGGAACAGCAGAGCATAGATCGAAGCACAAAATGTTTCATCAAAGCATGTACGATTATCTGGCAGGAACCATGGATAATTACCCAGCAGGATCTTGGTTGATTATCCAAAACGGATCGTGGGTCATGAACCATGATGTCGGCCGAATGGTCTGACCCGCTCAGGCTGATCAGGGCACAGATTGTTTCCATGCTGGGCTGTTTCCTGGTACTCTTGACGTTCGCTGTATGCCCGTCGTGCTTCTTGCTGATGTCCCATGTTGCAGAGTGCCGTGTGCCCGGAGGCGGTATCGCCGTGAAGGTAAGGGGGTGACGTGGAGATGGCATCAAAGCACACCGAAAAAGCTAAGGTAATGAAAGCTCTGTATACGGATTGGTCGCAAATGATGTATCCAGTGATCCTGTGCCATCATCTTGTTTGAAAGCATACTCAATCGCATGTATCCGATCTTGCTTATGTGACATCCCTTGTCATGGGTTTTCCGTTTGGCGTTCGTGTTAGCGCAGGTCCTTTGCTTGTGGTGGGTAATGAGTGTGTGTGAATTGTATATTAGTGCATTGCTTATCGAATTACATGTATTATTGTGTACACATTGGAATAGAATATTGCCGACAGCAGTCACCACGTTTGCATAGCTTTTGTTTAATTACTGCTGGCATTCGCCGCACATGCGTCTTTTTCCATGTTACCACGTTTGACTGGGTATCGTGAACTGTTCGTTGTGTTTCTATCGCCGTGTGCTCGACTCTTCACCTCACTCTCGGCTGTCCCGCAGGCTCCGAGTGCGCGAGGCGCGGCGAAGCAGTCGCGGCCGGCGCGCGCGCGCCAGCCGGACCCGGCGCTGTGGCGGCGCGTGGACGGTCCTAGCCCCTATCAGTGCGTGCTCTGCCACAAGCAGTTCCAGTACCTGGCGAGCATCAAGATACACGCGCGCACGCACACGGGCGAGAAGCCGCACGGCTGTGACGTATTGCGGCCGCCAGTTCGCGCTGCTTTCGACGCTGACCAATCACCGGCGCATGCACTCGGGAGACAAGCCGTTCAAGTGCGAACGACTGCGGGCCCGCGCGTTCGCGCAGCAGTCCTACCTGTGCGTGCACAAGCGCGTGCACTCGACCGACAAGCCGTTCTGCTGCGAGCAGTGCGGCAAAGACCTTCAAGCAGGCCTATTACCTCAACATCCACAAGCGCTTCCACTCGGGCGAGAAGCCCTACAAGTGCGACGACTGTGGTAAGGGCTTCGCCACGGTCTCCAACTTTTACAAGCACCAGCGCGGCCATCGCGGGCGAGCGCCAGTTTCTGCTGCGAGCAGTGCGCAAGACGTTCCGAGAGCACTGCCAGCTGCGCGACCACCGGCGCGTGCACACCGGGGAGAGGCCCTTCTCCTGCGACGTGTGCGGCATGACGTTCACCTTGGCCAAGATCCTGGAGCGCCACGCCCGCCTGCATACCGGCGAGAAGCCGTACGTTTGCGCCGCTTGCGGCAAGGCCTTCAGCCGCAGCGAGAATCTGCGCGACCACGCGAAAGTGCACGAGACGCACGAGGTGCCCGCGGCGCCGTCCGTGCCGCCGCCGGCCGCCGGCGACGACCGCTACTACATGGTGAACGTGATGCCGGTGACGGACGTGCAGGAGGCGCTGGCCTGGCCGCTGGAGGTGTACCGCACCGAGACGGGCGTCACCGTGTACAAGACGCTGGCCGAGGATGGCGCGGCGCTCTACCAGACGGAGACGGGGGAGGTGTTCCGGGAAATGGCCGGCGCCGTGGAGCTGGCCGCCCCCGACAGCGGCCTGTTCGCCGCCGCCGAGCACGGAGAGTCCGCCGAGCCAGCCACGCCGCCGGGTGCTGCCCGCTTACGACGGGCTCGGCATCTGATCGCGGTTGGTGCGCCAGTCCAGGCGGCGCGCTGCCGACTGGGCAGCCTCTGTGCGTGTGGGGTCCACTCCTCGCAGGGCCGTCGGCGCCCCAGACAGGTGCCGTGGGCCGCACCGCCGCCTGAGGTTTCGTTTCGTCATCTCGCAGGGCCGCGCCGAAGGACGTGTGAGGTGTGAGGTGGGCGAACACGTGAGACTGGTCGGTATCCGTTCCCCGGGACGCGATGACGGGTACACCCCTGCTGATGGGACAGGCGCTGGCTGACCCCCTGCTGATGGCACAGGCGCCTGAGACTGACCGTCGCTGGACTTCTGTGGACGGGAGCTCCGCCGGCGGTAGGCTCGCCTGTATAACGGCGCTCCTGCGCGACGCCGGAGCGTCACGCAGGCTACAAGCGGCAGCTGCCTGTGTCGTGCGGTCACCTGTCGTGGAGTTGGGGGCCGTGTGGCCTTGTCTTTTCCTGAGGGCTGGGTTTTGGGTGCACCACGTGTATCGGCGGCTGCTGTGAGTGCAGACCGGGGGCGGCTTGTCGTTGAAGCCCCAATGGTTCCTGGCGTCTCGTGCTCTTATGACCGGTGCTGTGAAGAGACGGCCTTGGGCTGGCGAAAGAAGGGTGAAATGAAGCACGCCGCTCTTGCGCTTTTGCAACTTCTGCATCGTGTAGTTCCTTACTGTTGTCGTCCGATCCTCAGGATACGAACTGAACGTTCAGCTATTGTACACTGTTGGTTGGTTTTGGGTGTGCAGGTGTGATAGATACATGGACGTTGATATGCTGCGTGAATAACTGTATTTTGAAGTTTTGACCTAATGTCATAGTGCGTAGGGATGTTTTTCTATGGTGCATTGCTGTCTCACTTCAATCTGAACGTGTGTGCGGATGTAGTTACTTTAATGCGTGGAGGCCATCTAAAAAAAGAGACCGTGTTCCTAGCAGCCTTCGGTGGGCCAGAACGTGGTCGCTCATCCAGTGATCTCTATGTGCCTTCCAGTGCCGGTCGATATTCTTACGGTTGTCACGGGTGTGCTGTTAGAAAGTGCCGCCGGCTGCGCCCCGTGTGACCCGCATCTGCGAGCCGCTAGGCCACGTCGCGCGACCTGTGATCTGCGGCAGAGCTGATCGCTGCCTGTGCGGACGATCTTTGCGCGGCTCGTGGTCGCTGATGGGCGGTGTGGCAGCAGCTGCTGACCGAGGGCCGTGATCTCCGGAAGTTGTGGGCGTGGAATGCGAGACGGGCGTCACTGTACAGATCTCGCGGCAAGTTATCCCCGTGCAACGCTCATGTATATTTGTACCTTTGGCGACAACGCCGCATCATTTAGACTGCACTTAATACAATGTATGCTCATCTCGCTACATTCTGAATTGGTGCTGGCACAATTGAGAGAACAGTGCTATTGATTTACTGTTAGAAAAGCGGAAGGGCATTTCGGAGGTTCGGTGCGACCATTTTGAAAGCCACCGTTGCGCCTGTGGTGTAAGGAAACGCTGTGAGGTCGCCTAGGCAGGAATTCAAATTCATGCCTCGTTCTTGCGCTGTGGAATCATAGGTCATGTGGGGGGGTGAGGGGGGGAGGCACCGTGTGAGACCACGCACTGGCGGCGCAGATCGCTAGACACCCACGGTGCTTCCAGCGCCCATCATATTTGTCACAGCGCCTAGCGAACCCATGTTATCTTGTTTAACTGAACTGAAACTCGAAGTATTTGGTAGCACTGTAGATGAGTACATTTAATGCGCAACTGGTACACAACACCTGAACGGGCTGCATCGCCTTGTTTATGTATCGTCATGGATTGCGTAACATCGAAATATCGCCTTGCGTCGGAGCTCTTGAGTGTTACGTTGGGGAGGTCGTGATCTCGTAGATAGGTGAGGTGGGGTTTGTGGGCACCCTGCCCGATAAAAGTAGGCGCCGGGCCCTACACACGCCACGCACTGCGTATAAATGTACGGCACCCTATGGTGCGGTAGGTTTCTTCCCGTCCCTGTTCATATATCTAAGTACGGTGACAACGCACAACTGAGCAAAGGCTACCCTGGGATAAGGTTTAGGTATGTGATGTGGTGCAGGTGATGGCTGTTTATGTCATGCTGTGTTGCCTTACACGCACCCGGATGGCTGGTTGGATGCCCTTCGCTCAGATGGGGGGGGGGGGGGGGGGATTTGACCACCTGAGATCTCCGTAATGAAGGGAGCTAGAGACACCAAATTTACAGCATGTGTTGGCCCATGCTGAAATCACTTAGGTTGAAGTTTAATATATTAAGGTCGCATCCTTTGGGTCAAATAAGGTCAATGTCAATAACTGGGTTGATCTCCAGAGTGCTCCCAGAACCCAGACAACTGTTCTAAGCAAAGGGTCCCATGCTTATTTGGGGGTTGGTGACCTTGTTTCACCTTTTCAATATAATGGTGACCAGAATGATACAAGACTGCTTTGAGTTTTGGACTTGAGTAATCAATAAAGATTATGATAGGTTGATATGATAGTTCCTAAAAACAAAATGTTGAGCTGGGTCATTTTGGGTCAGTGACCTATGCTGATCATTGAGAAATTCATGGAAGATTACAATACAGTTTTCTGTTATTAATGAATTGGAAGTGAGCCCCAGAAAACTACCCCAAGACAGCAAGCCTGGGAGTGATAAAAGAGATAAATGCTGGCCGTGGTCCAACCTTCAAAACTAATTTGTGCATTCATTTATTGGTGTTGCCAAGTGAACTATCTCAGAGATGTGTGGCTTCATCTATCACTCTGTTGCTGCATCAGGTTGAATGATTTCCTAGAAGTTGACTTAGCATAATCCATAGCTTGACTTTGACCTGCTGTAATTCAGCAACCTACAGGGTACATCTAAATTTTCAATACCAAATAATCCACTATTCAGTTGTCTACAGCTATGCAAAATCTGGTATGTCCACACTGTGCCATTCTGAACTTTCTGGAAAACCTTCAGGGGGGTGGTCAATTTGACCCCAACTAGGCATGTGTTAAGTGAGTTTTTGCTGTACCCAGACAGTGCTGTACCCAGGCAAAATAGTTTCATTGTACCTGGTCACAATCTTGGAGTACAAAATCTTGTGGCATACATTTTACCAGGAAAGAGTGATTTTTCCAACATTGCCTGGGCATGTAACAGGATGTTTTTGGCACTAGAACAAGCTATGATTTTTATTTCTCCTACTTGGCTTTGATCATATAACACAAACAAACACATGAATATGTGGGTATGGTGGTGGGGTGTAAACATGATTTATGACCACTTTTGACATTCGTATTATATATATATATATATATATATATATATATGCATTTTCCAATGCTGTTTGCCTGACTTACTATCACCTTATTGAAAGTTACATGTTATTGGTTGTCCTGCTTGACTGACAAATATCTTGCTCAGCACTTACAGTGTCCTTGTATGTTTATGACAAGTAGGTTTAAGGCTTTCCAGAATGGTTTTCCGAATGGCGCGGCGCACACACACCAAATTTTGCATAGCTATAGACAATTAAATAGTGGATCATTTGACTTGCAAAATTTAGATTACCTCGTAAGGTCACTGGCCTATGGCAGGTTAAAGTCAGGCCATGGTTTCAGCCGAAGGCAATTTCTAGGTAATCCTTCAATCTGATCCAACAACAGAGTGTTAGATGAAGTCATACATCTGAGATGCTTTCTTGGGCAACACAACAATTGAATGAGCAAATTTCATTGGCCTAAGGTCAGGTATGAATGCCACACCAAGGTTAAAACCAACCTGTTTTGTTACTCTAGAGCTTGCTGTATGGGATAGTTTCTGGTGCTCATTCTGAGTTTATTGATAGCAGGAATTGCATTATGCATCTTACCTGGACTTCTTAAAGGTCAGAATAGGTCATTAACCTAGAATGACCCAGGTCAACATTTTGTTTTAGGAACATACTGCCTGGTGTAATCTTTGTCGCTTAGTCAAGTGCAAAATGCAGAGCAATCATGTATGATTTTGGTCACCTTGACCTTTAAAAGGTCAAAAAGGTCACTCACCTTTAGTGAGAATGTGACCTTTGCTTAGAATGCTTGTCTGGGCTCTGGGAGCACTTTGGAGACTAACCTGGAGCTGACCTCATTTGACCTTTTTGATCTGAAAGTCATAACCTAGGAACCCAAAACTTTGACCTAAGTAAGTTCACATGCAGGTCAACACACCCTGTAAATTTAGTGTGCCTAGCTTTCTTAGTTCCTGAGATCTCAGGGGGGGGGGTTCAAAGTGCCCCCCCCCCCCCCACCCGAGCAAAGGGTATCTACCCGGCCATCCGGATGCGTGTTAACCTCAGTCATATTTTGCAGATTGGGGAAGGTTAATAACATTGAAAAGTGGAATTCCGTTTTACATTTAGGCTATTGATTGCTCCCAATTTCAGACACAGTGCTCCATCTCGTTTTGGCTGCTGCAACCATGCTCGGCGTCATCATCTTCGACCGGCTGAACGATGTGGTGTTCTCGCACGGCGATGAGCTGTTTGAGCAGCACATCCGCGGCATGTCGGCCCGCAACAGTCTCTTCTACCCGGCCTGGTCTGAGACGGTCAGTGCCATCAGTATGCCTGTGTTACTGCCAGTGTGCCACCCTACCCCTGCTTATCGTCGTTGTGCCACCCCTGCCCCTCTGTATTGCTGCTGTTCCACCCCCACCCCTGTGCACTGCCACCATGCCACCGCCCCTGCGTACTATCGTGCTGCCCGGTCCCTGTGTAATGCCGCTGTTCCATCCCCGCCCCCGTGTGATGCCGCTGTGCCACCCCTGCCCCTGTGGTTCCTGTGTGCTGCCGCCGTGCCACCCCCGCCCGTGTGCTGCCGCTGTTCCACCCCGCTCTTATGTACTGTCGCTGTGCTACCCCCCGCCCCCGTGTGCAGCCGTGCTGTGCCTCAGCGTGCCACGCGCTGACCGTCTACCGTCCTGTCAGGTGCCGGAGACGCGCAGCGAGCGGGCCGACGTGCTGGTGCAGCTGTTCTTCGCCGTTCCTCGCCTCGCAACGCATCATGGGCCTGGAGTTCCACGACCCGTACAGCTGCATCGAGTGCGAGAACGGCCTGCTCATGGTGTTCTCTGAGGTGGGCACGCCGCTGTCTGTTCTAGCACGAGTCCATCTGCAGAGAAACTGAATGGAAAGGTGACAATGGAGGGAGGGGTAAAGGGTGGCATTTGTATGAGTGGAACGGCAACTAACAAACTTACCAATGCCAAACCGGGTTTGTCGAAAGCTGGCGCCCTGAAAGCGCTGAAAGGATGAGCGCCAAAATGAGCGAGAGCAGGACAAAGGTGCGTGGTGTGGTGCCGTGCCAGCGGTCTTAGCGGGTGAGGGTGTAGCGGGCTCACTCGTAGGGTAGGAGCGATGGCGCCGCGGTGCCTCGGTCAGATATGTGGCCTCAGCTAATCTGTGCATATAGTTGCTGCTGCTTTGTGTATGTTTCGCTGTCGCTATGTGGAGCCTGTGCACAAAAAATATGTTGAGTGATAGCTGTGATAATAGCAGGACCACAGGCATTGGTGTGATAATGGTTCGGATCAGGGGCGCAGCCGGGATCTCCGAAGGAAGCCCGGGGGGGGGGGGGGCATGGTGATAACGCATTACGCCGATGAAAAAACTTCTGTCGGGAATCATCTAAAGTGGAAACGTCGTGTGGGCTCTGCCACCCCCTGTAGAGCTGCGCTCCTGGTGCCAATACTGTAATGCTGGACCAGCAAGTAACATGTGAGAAACACGCTGCACGATTGCGAAATGTGGATTTATCGTATGCGCCTTGCAAAGAGTGTACTTTGCAAATGCTGCAGGTCAAATCTATTAGTAACCCTCGTGCATCTCCGTCTGATAGGCTTTTGAAGTCAAACTATGGCTCTTGGTATGGGCAATGCTGGGACGTTGATGTAGGGAATTCATTATGTTCTTACGAAGGCTGTACGGCAAAAGTTGTGCTATTGTCAAAATCTACCGTGGAATACAAATAAGCTGGTTGCACGAAATATATTGTTATAAATATATCATTAAATTTACCATTGCGCGAGCAGTATCTACTAAGGTGATGTGACAGAAACCAGACAAGGAAACGAGACTTTATATTAAACCCTCTCTTCGAGAGAGCTGTTCAGCTGCTCACCACTCTGAGCATGCCCGCATATCGACTCTTCCGGCAGTACCTGACGTACCAGTTCCTGTGCCTGGGCCAGCACTCCAGCCTCTCGCCGAGGAAGTACATCTCGGTGGCGGTCAGCCTCGCCAAGCTGCTCTGCGGGCCTGTTCTGACCAGGTGGGTACTGTTACACGCCGTCGGCTGAGGGGGAGAGCCGAACCGTGATAACGTACGCCGTCCCATGAGACGGACGAGAGCGGGAGCGGATCGGCGATGCGGTGGTGGTGCTGAGCGCCGCCACTGTGACGTTTTTTGCAATATTTTCGTCACAAAAAGTGGCATTGAAAAACGACAGAGTGGCCTATGATTGTCACATTTTTTTCGCCGTGATTCATCTTCTAAGCGTTAAATTGTAAGCTTCTAAACGGCTAGCGCACAGCCTGTTTGGGCATCATTGTGGCAAAATGTAGCCACTTGGATGGCAGGAATATCGATATTTTGTCCGTGCCATCGTGTCCGGCTGGGCGGCCACTGCCTGTTGCTCCTCCCCTTACTGAAGACTGGCCGATCAGTGTTGAGCCGGACGGCGGCCAGCCTCTCATCTGGGCGACCACGGGCTTTGAAGTTCGGCCGGGCAGGTCATGTGTCAGAGCTTGGGGTCAGAGAACAACATATTTAGCAGCCAATGAAGTGTTGCGCGCGTAAGGGACGCCGCGGAGCCAGATTCTTATAGAATGTGTTTATATTTACACCCTGCACACTCAAATAGATGTTATTTGGAACGCTGGCGCCCCGGGGGCCGTCCGTGCCAAGAGCCCAGGCCTCTGCTGATGCCACCATCTGCTGGCAGACTCAAGTCGAGCGACGCCTCGCTCTCGCGCCAGCTGGCCGACATGCTCACCTCCTACTGCGAGCTGCAGCGCAGCAGCCAGGCCTACCACGTGGAGGCCGTGGAGCGGCTCATCATCGGCGACGACGTCCAGAACAAGATGGTCTCCGTGCTGCAGGTGCGGGCGGCGACAGCGGCGCCGCCTGTTCGGCCGGCGCGGCCAGAGGCGGCGCTGCTGGCGCCGGGGCCGGCCGCGCCGGTGGCGGGGCTCAGTGCCGCGCCGCTCGGACTGGGAGGACGGCGGGGATGCTGGGAGGCGGTCTGATTGGCTGTTCCGGCAAGGAGAGTCTGGCCTGTCCCCACCTCTGCGCCTTGTGTTTCATGCGTGGCAGCTGCTGGTTATTGGTCCTTGTGATGAGCAATGCTGCTGAGATGACCCACTTTATCAGTGATGCGCTATTTGTGCAGTTATCAGTCACCAGTGCTTGTGGGCTTCAGTGATGCAGTCAAAGTGGCATGCCTGTAAGTTTTGTCTCCTGTGTTGTGATGGTTTGTGATGCTTTGTTGGCTAGTGACGAGTCCCTGTGTTGCAGTGGGTGGTGACCTGCCCCTCTGTTGCAGCAGGTGGTTTCTGGTTCATGTGGTAGCGAGTGGTGACTGGACCCTTGTGTTGAAGCGGGTGGTGAATGTCCCTGGTTGGCAGCGGGTGGTGACTGGTCCGCGTTGTAGCCGGGTGGTGACCTACCCCTGCGTGCAGCAGGTGGTGACTGGTTCATGTGGTAGCGATGGTGACAGGTCCCTGTGTTGCAGCAGGTGAATGATGGTTCATGTGGTAGCGAGTGGTGGCCTACCCCTGCGTTGCAGCAGGTGGTGACTGGTTCATGTGGTAGTGAGTGGTGACTGGTCCTGTGTTTGCAGCGGGTGGTGACCGGTCTGCCGTCGGGGCCGCGCGCCCACGCCTTCCTGGCCGTGGACAGCACGCTGGTGAGAGCCTGTACTCGGGCCGCCAGGTGGCCGAACTGTCACCGAGCGTCGTTTCTCCACCTGCTGCTGCTGGTCAACGCCCTGAAGCCCAGCGACGCGCCTACTGACGATGGTGGGTCCGGCCTCGGGCTGGAGGGGTGGGACGCTCTGGTGTCCAGCCTGCTTCGCCTCTTGTCTATGTCTTCCGCCATGTAAAAGAATGGCAGACGTTTATTCTCTAGAACATTGGCAATGTGGGCGGCTACTGAGGTCATTGGTGCCTCAGTCCTCCACGCCGCTTGTGCGGCACTCTCACCTGAGATGGGCGCCCGCGAACAGCTGCCAGCGGCGGACGACTGTGGAGCGAGCAGGCTCGTCTGTGGCCTCAGCGGTGTCGTTGGCGGTTTACAACGCCCTCAGCTGCTGAGACTGTATGGCGTCACCTGTCCCTCGCCCTGGCAGGAAGGATGGGCACCGCGGCGAATCAAACCCCATGCTTCTGGTTTCCTAGACGCGGGTTAAGCGGTATCACTTTCGGAGTTTATGCCAGTTTATGCCGAATTTGGCAAGGCTGAAACCAGTGAAGAACCTGCAAGTGGCAAGAGCTTCTTGCTGCCGGCTGAAATGCGAATACGTTAGCTCAACTGTGCGTGAGTTTCGCTATACGACGCTAATAATTTCAACCTCATGACGTTTCAAATTGCGAAGCAAAGGCTACCTGCCACGTGTAAAGACGTCGCTGTGGCTGATGATTAGATGACCGCCGCTCGATCAGGTGCGTCACCTCCAAAACATCAGCGCACCTGACCGGCTCTGGCTGGCCGATGCAGGATGTAGTGCATGTCTGTCACTCACGGCGTGTTTGGCGCGTGTCACACTCACCGGCGCTCAGCGGGGTCCATTTTCGTCGCCTGTCGTGTGACTCTTTGCGCTCGGCGATGACAACTTGTCTCGCCACCTGGACACGACACATCTGCTTGTGGCAAAGTACCGCGCACACGGCATGGTGGCGGCGTCAGGTGCGCGAGCTGATGTGGCGTGGCGGGTCGCTGTCCCGGCAGCCGAAGGCGGCCCGTCCGACGATGCGGAGGCCGGGCCGCGCCAGCCGACCGCCGCCATCCGAGAGGTGCTGTGTTTCCTGACGGCCAGCCGCTCGCCGCTCTCGCCCTACCTGGTGTACGTGATGCACGTCTGGGACGGCATGGACCTGGTCATCGTCTGCGACGTAAGCCGCACTCGAGGCGCGCCCCCCGCTCGCCCACAGGGGGAGGGGGATGTTCTGAGCGAGGGGGGGGGAGGCTTCACGTCATGCGGAGTGAAAGAAACGGCTGCGCTTCAAGCGCTTCAAACCTCTGATACCAATGGTGGCTGCCAGCATATGGAAAGAAACGCCTGCTTGAGATCGAACGTCTGTGATGTTTGCCTCAGAGCCGTCCGTGTTTAGTCGCGGTCGGGGTTCCCAGTCAGAGTCCAGTGTCTGGGGCTGTCCGGCGTGGCCGCTTGTTGTGCGGTTCAGCAGAGTTGGTATGGAGAAGCCGTGTCCCCATTGCCTGAACACGACGATGCTGATGGACCTGTCGCGGGGTTAGATCGATAGCTTTCCCGGGAAGCGTCGATAAGAATGAGTGCTGACTGCACCGCCGTCCGCGCGGGCGTGCTATTACCATCTAACGCCCAGTTGTGCGTCCAGTTTTTGCTCCCCCCGATGGGACAGCCAGGCCCTTTCAGCTGTCCCGTACCCCGCCGCCAGCTCCGGCGGAAGCGGAGGTGTTGTCCGCGCTGACGTCACGCCGCGTGTGACGCGCTGTCGTCGTCTGCCCGCCAGCTGTGCATGACTGACGTGGCGGGCGGGCTCTGCGAGGCCATAGAGAGCGTGGCCAGGTGCCACCAGGCGGTGACGCCGGCGCAGCGCAGCCAGATCTACGGCCACCTCAAGCACGGCCTCACCGTGCTCTTCTCATACACCAACCAGCTGGGCAGGTCGGCCGAGGTCAGTCGCAGCCGGCGCCAGCTGACCAACTGCTGACGTCACGTGTCTGAATAATGCAATAAAGACCGGTTGGTATGGTTATATGTACTAAGCCATTAACCGACCCGCACCGCCTGAATTCTGCGGCTTTAAGGCCGAAGCACGTGCCCTATGTATGGCCTGAAGGAGAATTCAGGTTACTGTTGTGCTTCCGGGCACGGCCGGGACGGGGCTGCGGGCTCAGTGGGACCCCAGCAGAGGGTGACGATCTGTGTTCCTGTGTGTCAGGTGCGCTCGCTGGTGGGCCGGCTGCGGGCTCAGTGGGACCCCAGCGGAGGGTGACGTTCTGTGTTCCCGTGTGTCAGGTGCGCTCGCTGGTGGGCCGGCTGCGGGCTCAGTGGGGACAGCTGCGCCGGCTGAAGGTGGACGCCGTGCTGTGCGGCGCCGACACGGTGCCGCCTGCCGTCGACCAGGGCCTGGCCACGCTCTCGCGCACGCTGGAGTCGACGTTCGAGGCCGTGTGCCACGCGCTGCCGGAGCGGGCGGCCGTCAGCTCGTCCCAGCTGCTGCGCCTGCTGGATCAGGCACAAGCTGAACTCGACCACTACAGGTGAGCGGCGCCGAGCGCTGGCCAGCCGGCCGTCTGATGAGCTCCGCTGAGCTCGACCACTACAGGTGAGCGGCGCCGAGCGCTGGCCAGCCGGCCGTCTGATGAGCTCCGCTGCGCTCGACCACTACAGGTGAGCGGCGCCGAGCGCTGGCCAGCCGGCCGACTGATGAGCTCCGCTGAGCTCGACCAGCTACAGGTGAGCGGCGCCGAGCGCTGGCCAGCCAGCCGTCTGATGAGCTCCGCTGGGCAGCGTAGGGGGGTTTCTGGGTCGTACTAATAGACCTGGCGAGACTCATATGAATGGGAACTCGATGCTGTCGTCGTATAAACCCACCCCATGGCTAATGGATCATCGGTCGTTGTACCGAGATGAGTATTGTATGATATGAGGGGGAAAACATAACTATGGTCTCTGCTGGTTCTGTCCGTGTCTCGAAATATTCCGGATAGGCAATGCTGTGTTCAGGTCAACTTCCAGCTCTATAAGTTTGCTGCAGGAATCGTGCATTTACTTTAAAGAAAACTTGTATAAGATAGTACTGGCAGCCTCATCTCTCGCTGAATAACCGAGAGCGTAGAAAAAGAGAGGAGAGAGAGAGTAGAGAGAGAGAGAGAGATGAGAGAGAGAGAGGAGAGAGAGAGAGAGGGAGAGGGAGAGGGAGAGGGAGAGGGGAGGGAGAGGGAGAGGGAGGAGAGGGAGAGGGAGAGGGAGAGGGAGAGGGAGAGGGAGAGGGAGAGGGAGAGGAGAGGGAGAGGAGAGGGAGAGGGAGAGGGAGAGGGGAGAGGGAGAGGAGAGGGAGAGGGAGGGGAGAGGGAGAGGGAGAGGGGAGGGGAGAGGGAGAGGGAGGGGAGAGAGGGGAGAGGGAGAGGGAGAGGGAGAGGGAGAGGGAGAGGGAGAGGGGGAAGAGGGAGAGGGAGAGGGAGAGGGAGAGGGAGAGGGAGAGGGAGAGGGAGAGGGAGAGGGGAGGGAGAGGGAGAGGGAGAGGGGAGAGGGAGAGGAGGGAGAGGGAGAGGAGAGGGGAGAGGGAGAGGGGGGGAGAGGGAGAGGGAGAGGGAGAGGGAGAGGGAGAGAGGGAGAGGGAGAGGGAGAGAGGGAGAGGGAGAGGAGAGGGAGAGGGAGAGGGGAGAGGGAGAGGGAGAGGGAGAGAGAGAGAGAGAGAGGGAGGAGAGATAGAGGAGAAGAGGATAGAGAGAGGGGGAGAGAAGAGAGAGAGAGAGAGAAGGAAGAGAGAGAGAGAGAAGAAGAGAGAGAGGGAGAAGCGGAGAAGAGAGAGAGAGAGAGAGAGAGAGAGAGAGAGAGATAGAGGAGAGAGAGAGAGAGAGAGAGGAGAGGAATAGAAGCGATAAGAGGAGAGAGAGAGAGGAGAGAGAGAGAGAGGAGAGAGAGAGAGAGAGAAGAGGGAGAGAGAGAAGAGAGAGAGGAGAGATTGTGCCTGTCGATTCGGCTCGATTTTTCACGTTTTGTTTTGAAACAGGGAACCGTAGTTTTGACAGGTCACCAACATTCAGAAGATTATACAAGGAGCAATTACCAGCCATTATTACGATACGGCGTTTATCTCTTGATTATAGATGCGTGTGCATGCAAGCAAATTCAAGTTAACAGGAATCACGCAGCAGGCAACACATGCATGCAGAAGATTTCCACCGAGCGCTAATCACGTTTGCATGGTCAGCCATGATGAGCCCTGCGCGTTTAGGTCTGCTCGCCAGCTTTTTATAGGAATGGATTCAATTATTTTCCTGACTGGATGGTCCTGTGCTCTGTATTTGCCTGTCAAGTCTTAATTTAAAAGGGTACTATGTCCGTTGGTCGTGTATCCCAGGACTGCAGCCTGAGTGAATTTCGTCAAAAAATGGTCGCCGAAAGGGATATTCTCTGTCTTGTTAGTAGCGCCTCACGGGTGTTCATTTTAAATCTCAGACGAACTGGGTGCATGGACTTCCCAATGTAGACCATGTCCCTCCCATGGCTTTCGCACAATTGACACTTAGTTTGGTAAACTTTTTGTTTGCGTGCAAACCCCTTGAAACCCCGACCTGCATGAACGATGCCTTTTGCGCCTAGGGCACTTAGTGTTTGAGATGGAAGATTTCACCATGCACCTTTTTTTAACTTACTGCCATTCTTCCAACCTTTTCGTACGCGCAGTAATCATTTTCTAACGAAAGGCTTGATTTTCCACAGCAAGTGCTCATCTATTTCAAGTAGCGTTAAGAAGCCGTCATCCTACTGAGCGTATTTCCGTTGCTTACCACTCATCCCCCGCGTGCCTTTGATTACTTTAACTCTTCCAGCACTTTCCTTAAAGGCGTGTAGAGTATCTGTTACCCAACTGCAAATCTTTGTTTACGCTCAACACTACTTTGTTTACGCTCTTGTGTGCTTTTTCACTACTTGATGCATTGTTTAGAACTTTATGGGGCATAGTTGTACTTATAATTGAGCTATTTAATTGCACATTTCTCCTAAGTTATAATGTGATAGAGTGTGATACAATGTAAGCTTGACCAATATTTCCGTTTTTATCCTCGTGCGGTTGCTCCTCCTCCCTACCGTCACTGTTGTGCCCAAATATGGCATCCATTTCCGTCCCCTGTATGTTCTGTAGAAAAACCTAATTTGCGGTGCTCATTGTTTATGGACTCCAAACATTGTCCGAGACCACACTGTGCGTACGTCCATGCACCAGCATAATCATCTCTGTATCCGACTAAAAATGTTCGTTGGAATTAGCTGGCAGTCAGGGCCTTTGCTTCAAACCAGTATGAACATGTGATCGCCATAGGAGGTGCACATGGGTTTCCCATTGGTAGCAGTGCTATCTGAATCTTATCCCGGATATTTTGAGATGCGTAGGTGACTGAAACAAGGAGAGGGAGACGCCTATTCTGCTCTCCCGCGATGTCGCACTAAATGAATGACCACCCCTCCTGACAACAGACATATACCTGTTTTTATTGATGTCACTGCCCTCAAAGTTCGGAGAAGCCGTCGAGATAAGCCCGTGAGATGAATGGGGGGGGGGGGGGGGGGCACATGATTTGATACCATTGACCTTCCACATAGTCTATTACGGGCCCATTCTGTCTGGCAGTACTGCGCCTCGCGTTCCTGACGACGACGTGCTGTTGATGCGTCGGGAGCCTGCTATTCTCTTCAACACACAACTTAACTGTGCAAGCACTTACGGTTGGACTGACATTTCCGACCAAACTGCTTTGCTTTTGCGCCGATGCGCCACAGCACTGTCTGCACACCTTTGCTGCACATTGAACTCTGTCCAAACCAAAATTAAACGGTGTCGTTGCGAGGACGAAATGCACGTGTTGACACGCGGCAGCTGCTGACCGCAGGAGCTTCCTGTTTGCTCGCGCCGTGAGCAACGCCACGGTCGAGACGCGCTCGCACCTGAGCATCAGCCGCTATCTGGACAACTTCCCGGACCTCGTGCACTTCATCTACGTGGACCGCAGCGCGCACCTGATGACGGCGCCGTCCACTCGTCCGCCCGACGGCCGACACGACCTCACCGACACAGTGAGCATGACCCCACGGACACGGCCGACACGAACTCACCGATACGGTGAGCATGACCTCACCGACATGGTGAGCATGACCTCACGGACACGGCCGACACGAACTCACCGACACGGTGAGCATGACCTCACGGACACGGCCGACACGAACTCACCGATACGGTGAGCACGACCTCACCGACACGGTGAGCATGACCTCACGGACACGGCCGACACGAACTCACCGACAAGGTGAGCATGACCTCACGGACACGGTGAGCTCGACCTCATGGACAAGGCCGATACGAACTCATCGACACGGTGAGCTCGACCTCACGGGCACTGCTGACACGACCTCACGGACACGGCCGACACGAACTCACCGACACGGTGAGCACGACCTCGCCGACACGGTGAGCGTGACCTCACGGACACGGTGAGCACGACCTCGCCGACACGGTGAGCACTACCTCACGGACACGGTGAGCACAACCTCGCCGACACGGTGAGCACAACCTCGCCGACACGGTGAGCACGACCTCGCCGACACGGTAAGCATGACCTCACGGACACGGTAAGCATGACCTCACGGACACGGTGGGCTGGCCGCGTCCGGTCGCGGTGTCGGTGGCAGGGTGTGGGCGACGCTGTCCGTTGGGGAACATGCTTGGCTTGATGGACGGACTGGCTTCGCTAGCATACGACTTTGAGACAGATGGTGTGGGCTCCCTTGGCGTGGAAAGTTCTTTTGGGTCCGTGGTGTGGGGTTGCGAATTTTACCCAAGGCAGTCATCATTTGCATTCAGGTATGAAGGAATCGATGCAGGAGTTAATATTTAGTAATGCTGCTTGACCGATTAATATTTGTTACCGTATTTTGTAAGTCCTCCCTTTCCGAAGATATTAGATGATCACTAAAAAATTGCTTGGCATCCAACACGTTGTCGTCACACGCAAATATTGTACACGTATAAGAGGGAAGCACTGCACACGCCTCGCATATCCACGCGTAACACATCGCATAACAAGCCCAGTCAGATGAATTAGCGGTCGTTGACGTGCCCTTTTTGGCCATTTTGCATGGTATATGGGCATTGCCTGGCGGGAGGGTTGGATTGTCCCTGGATCGAGGAGCTCCCAACGAGCAGATGGTCACGGGCCGCCCTCCACGAGTGTTCAGGGTACTCCGAGGTTCGTACCGCGGCGTCCCGGCGTTCATTCACATATTCCCTACTTAGCTCAAGACGCCATTCGATGTGTTCTTACATGGCTATCTTTCGTATGCCGCGAAGCTGAAACTGATAGATCGACGGCGAGACGAATCCCTGGTGGTATCAGCGACACCGGGAACTGCCGCACATCAAATTGCTCTTTTCAGGGCTTTGCTCAGTCCCAAGTTGACGGCAGTGCCCTCACAGTGTTTAGTCAAGCCGTCGTGGCACAAGTGAGGGCTTATCTGATGTGCGTGACATGCTAAGAATGGAACATTCAACGCCAGTTATTGTTCTTTAGCCTTTGTGCGATCTATTTCGAAATGGCAGCGAAAAAGGCACCAGCATCGAAAGTGACGCCACTGTCCAGTAAGCAAACGATTTTAATGCTAATATTAGCGCAGACAGAGGATGTGTTTTTCCAGGGAGGAGCACTTTGACGTCATCTGCGTCCTGTCGCCTGCGCCTTGCACCACTGAATCGACGTAGGTTAATGTTAGCGCAGCCAGACAATGTGTTTTGCCAGAGAGTAGCACTTTGTCGTCATCTGCGTTCTGCCACCTGCATCTTGCACCACTGAATCGACATAGGCTTTTTAAAGGGTCTGTTGTACATTTGTATGGGGATTTTGAACTGGGATAGCCATCTGCAAGAGAATTACCTGCAGTTCACAGTTATACCCCTTTTAAGGCTTTAAATCCTCTTATCTCTGGTCTTAACGCACGCGAACTGGGGTAGCCTTTTTCGCGCAGCCCCTTCGAAAGTTATCCAAACATGCATGGTGTCAAAGATATGTCACGCAAACACCCGTACCTCGTTGGCTGTTTTGTGCTCTTAATCAAGCCAAGTATGCAGTGTTTCATCAAGCGTCTCAACAAAAAAGGCAGTTATTTAACTGTCGATTAAGCTGCCGATTGCATGTCTTTGTCACGAACCGCGTTTTGTGATACTCATTTATCACAAAATTTGGGTAACGTCTATTTATGGTGGGCATGAGGCTGACAATAGAATAACCTAAAAATAGCGCGTTGCCGATAAATGCAAGTGTGAGTAAAACACGTGCCATCGCATAGATACACAAAAGAACACCACGCGGAGGAGGCCAAAATGCACGCCCATAACGCTTGAAACATTTTAATGACATAACGTTTATAGCATAAATTTACATGTATTGACCACCAACGCTGCCTTGCGGCGTGTAGAAGCACCACAAGGGAGTTGCGCTGTCCATTACAGTGGCAACTCATCAAACGTGATCTTTCTTTTCTTACTTTTCTGTCGAGGGAGTGTTCCACATTGGTGTAGTGTTTTGAACTGAATTAGCATCTTGAAGATGATTACATACAGGTCATAGCCCTGCCCTTCTTAAACGGAGTTAAACGGAGTGCTCCACATTTGTGTGGGGACTCTAAACTAAAACTGCCATCTTGAGGATCATTCGGTGCAGTTCACAGCCCTGCCCTTCTTAAGACATGAACCCCTCTAGTTTCTGCGGCTACATGCCCGTGAAGATGTGCAGACCTCTTCGGGGCGACTATTTCAAGGTCACCCATGCGTCCATTACGCCATAGTAACGCCAATCAGATCGTGCCATTTTATTAGCCGTGCAGTGATCAAGGCCAAGGAAATATAATTTTCGAGCCGTTAATATCAGGCGTTCTTGAGCATGACTTCCAGATATAACAACCTTCAGATGGCTCCCAATCAATGTGTGCATGGCACGATGACGTAATCAAACAATGACGTGTTGAGGAGCATATTTACCAAGTAGATAAATTGTGTTCACAGTAGTTCGTTCCACTTCAAAACATGCGAGTAATTTTAGGTGAGCTTATCGCACGATACGTGATGCTTGCTTTAATGTCATAAAATGTGGAGCACTCCCTTAAAGACGTAAACCCCGCATTTTTCTGAGCTACACGCCTGCGGAGATACGCAGATTTTTCGTACAGGCTATTTTAACGTCACTCAAGCATCCATGCCGCCATAGAAACGCGATTCAAATCCTGTCATTCCATCGGTCATGCTGCAATAAAGGTCAAGACAAATATAATTGTCGAGTTGTTCATATATGGCGTTCGTGAACGCGATATCCAGACATAACTGACGCCAATTGGCCCTTACTCAAAATTGTGCAAGGTACGATGACGCAATCAAACAATGTTATATTGACGAGCATATGTACTAAGTAGAGAAACTCTGTTGTCTAGAGCAGTCTTTTCCATTTAACAATATTCCAAATGATTGAGCTTGCAAGTGAGCTCATTTCATCATATCTGATGCTTGTTTCAATGTTTTCAAATATGGGACATTGCCCTTGAGCCATTCGATTGCAAGTATTATTTCCGTAATTATTACCCATGCCCGTCTTCTTGGATTATGCACCACAAAGCGTGATTCGTGTCTGCAACTTGCGCCGCATGAACAACATTAATTAAGAGCCAATTAAAGTCCGTTTAATCTGGAATCCGTGCTCACCAGCGCCAGGCATGACCAACTCATTTGGATTATGGCAACGCTAATCCCTTGAAAATCCGTGAAGCCCGTTACCATAACCAGGACCATATAAACGCAGTATTGTATGATCCACGTCGTTGCCAACGGTCCTTATCCGGTGCCACGCCGTTCTCAGGATGGCTGGCAGCCACCGATTCTACAATTCCTATCCGCCATGATGTGCCATAAAGCCACTGCGGGCCGCCCTGTGGTGGTGTAGCGGAGAAAGCACTCAGCAGACGCCGTCCATTGAATTAGGCGACACCGGAGGTCGCGGCGGCCGCACGTCACGCGCTGGTGATAACTCGGCTGTCCCGCCCACAGTCGCTGGCCAGCTGGTCAGTGTGGACCACTGCCGGCCCAGACAGCGGGGTCTCCCTCGCGGTGGTGCACCTGGTCTGGACTGGGCGTATTGGCTGTGATGGCCGGGTAGAAGCTCGTAGTTCCCTGCTCCCCCGTAGCTCCCTGCCCGTAGCTACCCAGCCATCACAGCGTATTTAAAAGGGAAGTGACAACGCTGCTGGAGTGGCGAAAGCAGCAACAAGCCAAAGATGGTGAAGCCACTGTTGGAGCTTTGGCGGCCTAGCTCGCGAGCGGCAAGGTGTGAGGAGGTCGCTTTGTGCCGCCTGTGAATTGTCTATACTCACGCGACTTATGGAGACCTGTTGTGCGGTGGCGGGAGACCTGTTTTCCCTAAATGCGATGCGCCATTGACAGTTCATCATGTCGTTTGCTTTTGTTGGTATTTAAAAAAGAACGACTGCGTCATTTTGGGCGGCGTCATGTTTGACTTATTGCGACAAGCTAGGAGAGGATTCTTCATTGTTGCACTCAAGCCAGTCGTTTTTTTCTCTGAGAGGCATCGGGTTTGCAACTGTATTTGTTCCTTGCTAGTTAAACATAACACAGCCTTAAATGGCCGTTATGGACGCAACACGACCTGTGATGTCAACTTGGCCTAAAATCCCAAATAATCGTCATCACCAGGCTTATTGGTCTCTGGAGCGGAGTGCTCAGCCTCTGAATTCAGCGAGGCGTCAGAGAATTCACTGTCGGCGGTAAATTACAAAATCGAAATCGTCAGGTCGGACACGCTGTGAATCTGCTATCATGGTAACTGCTGAAACACTGAAAAGTCAATAATTTCGCACTACTCTTCGCGCAAATGTGTATTAAGTATAGCATATATATATATATATATATATATATATATATATATATATATATATATATATATGTATATGTATATGTATATGTATATGTCAGTATAAGCAAGCGCTCGACTCCATTCCTGTGGGATCGATTTCAACGTCACTCGCAGCGCATCGGGCCGATTCCGACTCGGACTCCGAGCAGCACGGGCAATGTCGGGTCACTGATTCCGACCCAACCTGAATCATTTCTGTGGAACTCGATTTGGCTGGGAACAATTTGTAATATGCAACGTTTTGGTAAGTACCTAAACCAAGCCGTGGTGTAGTTATTGCGATAGTAATGGGTAAAACGAAGATTTAATGTTCTATCCTTTGCTCGTGATAAGCTGTCAGGATGAAATATTACGGCACCAAAAAAGTGAGATGTCCTTGTCTTGCGCCGGTACATTGGCCGTGTGTTGTCTGGAAGAACTCACGGTCGTACGGGACCGGGCCGTTGCAGCTGTCTGATCCGCCCGCGTGTTTGAGCTCATTTGCACCCACCTGCTGCGGCACAGTCGGTGCCGCGCCGAGCCAGCCTCGCCGAGCTTACAGCGCCGGGCGCCCCCATGTCCCCACACTTCCCCATGTACATATCCACATCATAGATCCCCTGACCGCCAGGTGTGGAGCATGATCGACCTGGCCAACCGGTACCTGTGCGAGGGCCACATGAGCATGATCTGGCGCGACCAGCACTACAGCTACGGCCACTTCCTCTGGTTCGAGGACGCCATGGTGAGCGGGTTCGAGGACGCCATGGTGAGGCGGCGCCCGCCCGGCCGCCGGTGACCACGGCGTCTGACAGGCGCCCGCGTGTGGCGGCGTCTCAGGTGCATTAACGTGGGCCGCCTGCTCTGTCGGTATCCAAAAAGAACGGCGGAGAGATTTTGTGACGGTTTGAGATTTTGTGTTAGTCACTTCATTCAATTTGGGCCAATGCAGTGCGGTGGAACACACCGATTTATAGTTGCATTGGAATAAGTGGTTGTGATTGAGTGTGTATTTAACGGAAGACAGTCGCCCGTAGAGTTTATAAAGTAATAGGAGACGTCTCAAGATCGAAGCTAACACGCGCTTTTTCAGGGCAACCCTCAGAAAGCCAAGGAAAGCCCCAAGAGGCTGAAGGCCCTGTACCCGGACCTACAGCCGGGGATTTTGGTTCGAGATTACTTCAGGTATGTCATTTCAGCCCGGCTCGCGTTGATAAGGGTATCTAATTGTACAACCACATTAAACACGTTTAGATTCATTTATTTGAAGGTGTGTGAGGCAGCGGCAGTGTGTTACAGCTTTATTGTATTCCAAAATTGTGGGCTGTGCGATTGTCAGATGCCACTCCATTTGCCATTTGCCATTGATACCGCCATTCCATTAACTAGACTAGCGGAGATACCGAGGTATCGCAGTGTTTCGGACCTATCCCTCACAATACGGCAACAAACACACTGTGTCATCGATAAAACGCTTGCTGTGTACTGGATAAATATTGTATTTAGGAAGAGAAGGCATCGGTAAACGATGTGCCGTGTTCATGGGCTGTCTCGGCAGGTATACAGGGAATCGTGGTTTTCTTATCATTATGAAGCTCGTTTGGGTAAAAGGGATGTTCTTAGCATCTTCCCATGCAAACACACGCAGTGTTAGGTGTCAAAATCAGAGGTTCCGAGCGCCACGCCCATAAATATCACGAGCAGCCGAAATCCTTTCTGTTCCACACGCGACTGTCCCTCCTCTCCCCCTCGCACCTTCAATATCAGGACGCCGCGGTCCGATGCCTTCTTCTGAAGCAGCCCCCTCTCGCAGTGACGTCTGTGACGGTGATGGTGTCGGGCGCCTGCCGGCCGCCTCTCACCGACCTTGCCGTTCTCCGGCAGCACCCTGATCTCGGTGTGTTTTCCCGACGCGACGGAGGAGGGCGTGCGCTGCTACCAGCTGTTCCTGGTGCACAAGGGCCCTGTGCAGTCGTCGCGCGTGCTCGAGCAGTCACAGCGGATCGCCAAGACCGTGTGGGAGGTGTCGGGTGCGGCCGCCACACCGCTGGACCTGCTCTAGGGACGGCCGGGCCCACCAGCGCTTCCCCGCGGACCGCCGTGGGGTCAGCTCTGCGGTCAGGACAGTCGGGCTCCAACAGGCGTGTGACAGGCGGGAAAGGGCCGTTTTGCCGCCGTGGTAATAACGCTATCGTCCCAACGGACGGAGGCTGTTACATGCGCCTGTAACTCGCTGAGATAAGCTGTTACCAATATTTTTGCTTTGAGCTTGTTCTCTTTATGGACTTTTTTAATCAGGATTGGAAGCGATTCGTGCAATTCGTCAGTGATACCTTCCCGCCACTTTTCTTTAATTTTGATAGCCAGGGTCGTCTGCTTGTTACGGCGGTTCGGTGTGTCCCTGCCCTGCGGGACTGGTGCATCTGTTATTGGTGGCAAAGCTTAGTATCGACAGGGTAGGAGCGATTCGGTCGGTGCTAATAGCAAGTCTACGGAGACAATTCGGTATAAGGGGCTCTGGCGGCGCACCGCAATGCTCGTGCGAAATGCCGCAAACTAGAAGATCCCTGCGTCTCAGGGATGAAAGTACCACCTCTCTTCCGCCCACCATCACGTGTGGCGGTAGGTACGTTTGCTGGATATGCGTATTGATTCGTGACATTTTACCAATTCCCTGGCTACGTAGTCATGTGTTTGCCAGTTATTTAACCTGAGCTTACGCAGGACCAATGATAGCGAGGCTGTGGTCGTGTGTGGCCAGCAGCGGTCACTATGACGACGCGTTTCCGATGGCGGGCTTGGGTGGCGGAGTACCTCACCCCACCCCTATCCCCGTCCCTGGGCGGGGTGTCGGGCCGACACACCGGACGCCGCGACCGGTAACGGAGGGGGCGGTGACTGGCTCGAGCGGGATTTCTGGCCGTCACACCACCGGCGAAGGATGGGTGGTGCTGGGTCAGCATGGACGACGTCGGGCGTTGTGATGCGATGTGGTTGAACTGACCTGGCGTTTTGAGCGTGTCTTTGACCCGATGTCAAGACAACCTCCCCCGGCACCGGTCGCTGCATGACCTATAGCAGTCGATGCGCCCTAACCCCCCCCCCCCCCCCCCTGGCACCGGTCGCTGTCAAGACGGGATAGGCGGTTCTCGGCTGTGAATCGCTTCTCATCCGATGAAGTCTAGGCTATTCAAACTCCACAAATATCATAGGATGCCGCCCGCTGTTCGTGAATGCAGCGATGTCAGAAGGTGACGGGCCGTAAGCCGGTCGATTGTTGTTTTGCGCACGTTATGATGCTGTTTGTGGCCCGAGTGGTATCCCGTTGTGTGTCTCGTCTTGGAGTTACTCAAGTGGTTCTGCGCCGGTGCATGCTTTTTGAACTCGATTTAAGCCAGCCAATGCAAGTGTCTTGGACGCGCCGGTGGGCTAGAGACTGTCACCAAAATGCTTTCACTATACTTAAAGTGGCAACCAGCTGCAGGGTTAAATCAGTTGTCATGGCAAGCAGCGTACGAAGCCACACCCACGTGGCTGCAAACCATTGGTCTCCCGCTGAGTCCATTTTGATGATACGAAACGATCTGGGAAGTATACCACGCTCTCTGATCAGCTTGGCGAATGGAAATGAGCTGGCTGTGGTCAACAATTTGGTTTTGATGCAATGTTCGTTTCCCCCGCGGCGTCAGCTATGGAGTATGTCGGTATATCCGGCTTTCCACTGACGTCATCAATATGGATGAAGCAGCTGGCCATGTTCCGAGTGGTCCGGGTCAATGCCATGGTTTCATTAAGATGGTTGCCACATTGAGAACAAGTGGATTTTGCCCGGTCATGTAACCTCGCTTGGAATCGCACGCACCATATTTGTATCACATTCGAGCTTGTGCGTATGCGTAAGACCTGTATTGCAGTGCTTCTGATATGCGATCTGATATACGATATTCTGGGTGCGGTATTGTGTAAATAACTGGAACTTAGGTGATGCGGATCGGTGGTCTTCTGTAATCTTTGTGTGGGATTCATGGTGGGCGAGTTCAACTTAAGGATATTGCCACAACTATATGTGCCCTGCATTTTCTGCGCTGATTGTGACATTGCCGGAGCGGGGCCCTGGCTCGCATTTCATGCGAATATTGCGTTGTGTCTGGGGAGTGTTAGTCCAGTCATGTCGTCCAAATGATCGTGAACAATCGTGGTAACGGTCAGCGAATGATCGTTTCGCGTAAATCGTGTCATTGATCTGTTCGTCGCTCAGGGACCATAGCGTGTGGGGGCTGGGCTGTATCTATCGTGCCTGTTCAGACTGCATATTTTACGTAACCTTGTTGAGGACGTGCTTTGAAGTGCGGTTGCTTAACATACATATTTTTATATCTTTCATGGTTTCAAACGTTTCCCGCAGCATATGGCAGAAGATGAGTGCTCCAGCGACGGCGAATATTCCGCTTTCCAATATAGTGAAAATCATTTGCAAAGCGACCAAGAAGTTTGGGAGTTTGCTACTACTATGCAAGTCGATAAACGGTCGTCTTGCGGTGATAGCGTGTGTCTTCAACGTCAGCGCCTGCAATGATCACAGGGGAAAAACATCGGCAATCACGTGGCTTTGCTGCTGCTAAGTCGCGTTGTCCCAGTCCCGAGTCCCAGGTGACCCAGTATGACCATTGTTTAGTGTGATAACGGTTCGTCCCTTAATATTTAATTGGGACGAGAAACGCACTTTAATTCACAACTTACCCTACGCTCCGCACTTTTATCATTCTTTTGGAATCTTAGTGTGAATTTGTGCTTTATGATTGTATGCGTCATGATATGTGGTTCTCAAATGCTGTATTGAGAACAACTCGAATGATTTCATAGACTCTCGTTTTTCACTGGTACAGTTTTTGGCACGGGATTTTTATTTTGACCAATTTGACGCCCGGCAAGCATTGAATCGTGGGATACCAATGGAAGCTTTGAGATGGGAGGACACGGACATCAACGCTGGTGAGATCCAGAGCTAGTGGCATTCGGCCATCGTGCTTTTATGCCAAGTTGGTGAAATGGCTTTCTGGGCTATCTGACGAAACAAGCTTAAAATCTATTGGTTTTCAGGTGTTTTATGTTTGTAATTTAGTCGCACTGATGTAAAGCCGTGGACGTTTGGGCGAACAAGACGTGGCCTCGTTTGTCTCAGCCATAAGAATGTTGATAATGTAGACCGCAAACTTGTGCGTGGACCTAGAAATCCGTAAGATTCGTGAGTCCTGGATCCTGGAGTTTCAGGAATCTATGATGATTTTCGTATGTGAAAGGGCGGTAGGACATGCGTAGGAAAGCAAAGGAATTACGGCTTAAACGGCACTTCTTCGGTCGCCGAGAGAGCTTGGCTCCTTTCAGCTCTCGTTTTTGTGTAAGACATATTCATATGTTCGTAAGACATCCCAGTGCTGCGGGAATGCAATAAAGCAGGTGACAAAATAGCATGAGATGAATCTGCGTCCATCGTCTAGCCCGCATAGGCTCTGCCTAATTCCAACTGACCGGCTTGTAAAAATCATGTCGCACTCATATGGCATGAATTATAATTACTGTCGTCTGTGATCGCACAACGTCTTCCAGCATCGGTCCATAAACCAAGAGAGCACATATGCGGCGATACCCCGTCCTTTGTCCATGAAAATTTGCCTTACCACCACAATGGACCTCTAGGTTGACCGTTTGATAACCCAGGCTGAAATCGACAGGAATCGAAAGGTGAGGCGGGGGGGGGGGGGCGATCCACTGGCGGGGAAGCCCGCAGTGGTGTTGGGCTTGTTTCAGCATCCTGCTGGAGTAAGAACTGCAGGTGCGTCACAAGGCTGCATGGAAATTCTAAATCATGACGTTCTTGGAGCGCTCTGACGCCCCTCGTGCATGAAGCGCATCGGCTTTGTTGTGAGCTATGTTGCTTCATGTTAGTTCATATGTATGTGTCGTGGGCTTCGCTCAATGTGTTCATCATGGATGGTGCCGTAATGCATGCAGCACGAATGGTTTACCAGCATAAAGCGCATTACGGTTATCACCTCCCCTCAACCTGAAACTGGATCGAATCATGACGCATACCCCGCCCGCCGATCAAAACAAAACAACTCGGTCGGATTCAGATTTATAAATTTACTTTGGTGACCCGTAAACAAGCGCTATTCTGATCTGGTTGATCGACATGACCAAGCTACGCTGGCCCTGATTCGGAGCGGGGTTACACAAGCGGATGGTTGGCCCAAGGAAGCGGTCCGCGGAGTGAGTGCAGTCGGGCAAAACAAATCAAATCATATGACGGAAGTCGTTATCTGGCTCTTGCCTAAACATCAGATGTGAGCAAATTGAGCTCTGGCCTCGTTCTGTATCCTGTCGCAATCATTTCTGTCCAGTGCGTGTGGCAACATCGCCCTCCAGCCAGTGCCTGCGTGTGCTTGGATCTTCTCGACGCGTAAGATTTGACTTCCTCGCAATTCCTCCTAAGAGACCCTTATTGCATCCCTCCCCCCCACGCAGATTCCCTAATCCCTTATATCCCCCCCACTGGGAATGCCTGATTTAGCAGTTACTATTTATTATATCCATTAAATATTCATCATGTACATTATCTATATCTTTACGGCGGAACCCTCCGTACTAAGTCCCGAGGGCAAACAATGCTCTGCACTCAGCTGATGGTTCCGTCCAAGGAAATGCTAACCGTGGATATTCGCAGATTTATATTGCCCTCAGTTGCAAATGAACGTATTCGTCGGTCGGCGATTTCATGATGATCATCTCACTTTCAGAGCGGCAAAATCCGAGCTCTCACATCAACAAAACTCACAAAATAAATTTGCCTTTATTTAAAGCCACCAATAAATGGACAAGCCGTCTTGATGCAAGACGCTTCGCCACACCACGCCGTTGCCTATCTTCTGGCGATCAGACGATACATTTGCCAGGGTCACTCGCCGCGAACCAGTCACCGACGGCTGTCCAACACGTCACTGCGCCCCGTCACCGGACCGTCACCGATAGCTGTCACCGGGCCAGTGCGCGTTGCTGCCGATGCCGGCCGCCGCCGGAGCGCTGAGCCGCGCGACACTGAGCACCAGTCCTCACGGCAGCGGTCCTCGACGCTCCGGCGCGCTCCTCGCGGCCCTCCTTAGAACATGTGCATGCTCTTGAAGTTCTCCTTGTTCTTGAACAGCGGTCCCCAGGGGCCGTTGTCCTTCGGCTTGGCCGCGGCCGACGCCTGCTGGCCCTTGACCGGAGCGGCGGTAAACGCCGGCTTCCTGCCGAACGAGCGTCGCGGGTTACATCAAGACTATATCGGAGGCATGGCGGCCGGAGCCACCGGCCAGCCTCAGCTAGCCGTTGTCGCTGGGTTGTGTCTGAATAGAATTGGGACTTTGAAACCTACGAAATACCAGTGCAAGGTGAATGTCGGAGAGGCAAATATGTTCTTGTCTGCTGCAGAGTTTGCTCGGAAAGTATCGCCTCTACGCCTAAAACAATTATTATCGGCTTTGAACAGCATGTCATGGCACTAAACGGTGTCTGTCTTGAAGACAAGTGTTCACTTTGGCGCAAATAGTCATGCACGTGACATTTTCCGATAAGCATCGGACAATCAATGCGTCTAAAAAACTCAAATCAACCAAAATCATGCCCTTGTTTGTTTTCGCAAATGGCGACATTTCTTATTGTAGCCTGCATCATGAACCCAAGCAGCTTTAGAATGGCTTTGCAATTACCAAATTTGCATTTTCTGGGTCAGACGCGCTCATTCAAACACCACTGCCTCTGGTGCTATAACATCAGGTTGACGCTTTTACTTCCCGGAATCTTTGGAGGTAAACATCACTATCTCGACATCAAAGTCAAAGCTTGCAAAATTCTTACAGCGTGGAAAGCCAACACCTAGCAAAAGAAACTCCGCAATACCAATCTGGGGAGATCCCGTAACTTTCTACACGCGGAGCGAACGGTCGATTCTTGATTGCGTCCAGTGCCTTAAACACAGGCGATGCCAGAACCCCGCAATACTCACTTGACAGGCTTAGCCTCGAAGCTCTGGCTGCTCGTCGCCGCGAACTTAGGGCCCACGCTGTGTCCCATGCTGGCTAACCGACTCGCCGACTCGCTGACTCGATCTTGCGCTGTGCCGCCTCGATCAAGGAGGGTCCGACGGCGGGAAGAGGTTCGCTCCGCTAGCTGTCGACCTTCCTGCGAACGCGACGCGGTCGTCAGGCTCGCCGGCAGATTACTCTCCCGCCGCGCAAGTTGACTACGGACAGGGTCGACGGTCGCCACTAAAATAGCACGCAATAAACTGCCCGCCGACAAATTTCGGGGAAAATATGTGCCAACGGACGGTAAAGTTCCTCACCCATCGTCTGCGAAAGTTGGCGGCGGCCCCGCCGGGTCGCGTCACTCAAAGTAGGGCGACTCGAGCTTCCGTCGCCGTCTAGCCGTCGCCCCCCGTCTGCTCAGTGTGGGGAGGGGGGGGGGATGTTGGGAGGCCCGTCTGCCTTATACGTGTCATGCCTGGGCACGCGGCGACCTCGAATGCCTTGGCGGTCGGCCAAATCGCTGGTGGAGGGCATACAGCTGGCACGTTTGGAAGTGTTCGGCATGTGCTTCCGCGTTTCTCTATTGGTTGCAGGACTCGTAGTTCCTGATAATGTCTATTGCAACAGAGAGGCTTAGGAGCATTCTGATCACCACAGACTTTTCCGAGGCAGGAAGCGTCTCCTGCGTGACCTAAACGGATTGGAGTTTTTTTGTATAAAAACTGAGGTAGTTCCATAAGCGGGAAGATCAAGTCCTATGGTGGCGGATTAGGCCCGAAATTGTGTTCCAACATGCGCAGTAGTAAGCGTGATGTCTGCAGTCTATGACGCAATGCCGTGCAACTATAGATTAAAGCACCAAAAGTTAATTTCCTGCATCCAACGAATAGAAATGTGTTTTAGTATCATCGTGTCACGAAGATATCCTGTTAAGCTTTCCCCTTCCATGAGTGGCTCAAATGGTTCAAAGACATCCGTAACGTGTACCGGAGCACAACTCGACCGAGCTGTCAAGTACAGCATTACACTCCCATCCGACGCTGGGCGACGCGCGCTCCAGTGAAGGTCATTCAGGGCACCATCCCGTCATCTGCCCCGGCACAAGGGCCGCTGGATGCGACCGCTGACGTCAGGGTGTCGTCTGTGACGTCAGAGGACCGTTGTCTGGCGGGGACGATCGCTGCCGTCATCCGGACAACACGTGATACGAGGAGGCCGACACGTGACGCGAGGAGGTCACAGGCGATAAGGAGGCCGGGTCTGGCCAGTGGCGTGCGCTCGTCTTCGGCAGCGTTCTGGCCGGGGGCAGTGAGGTGAAGCAATGGGCACTCGGTGAAATGGTCAGGGCTGCCTCTGGATGTGGATATTGTGGAGACAGCCCTCGGACACCAAAACACCTAACATTCGAGTCTTCTAAAGCTATGCATCTGTAATCCTGCCCGTTGAGAAGTTCGCATCATACATGCGTGCTGGACGACATTCTCAGTATGGCTGGACTATACCTCGACACACTCTCAGGTCGGCATGGACATAGATTACAGCAGATGCAGAGAAGGGTACGAGAAGAACAATACCACTCGTACCTCGCTTAAGCAAGTGTGCAGCACTGCCGGCGGTTTTCGGAGTCACAGCACTCCCGCGCCACTCACCTATCAGGGCACTCGGTGGACCAGCGTCAGCACCTCCCGCTCCAGCTTATTGCCGCAGTTCGCCTGTCTGCTGCCCTTGCTGCTGGCAAGACTGCTACCGAGCCTGCAGCGAATGCACCGCATTAGGCAGTTCACATCTTTGGTAGCACCAAACTCGCTGTGGACCGGTGACGGGCAGAGCGCCACTCATTCGGATACAATGGTACACTTGCATCGCTATCCCTCCAAACGTCGCGCATTCAGTCCGGTCTCGAGCGGACCGGCAGAGCGATGCACGCAGCATCTCGTATGCCACCTGCCACCATGTGCCGATGTGGCATCCGCTATGTGATCGTATGCGATTGAGCAATATGGGAAATGAAATGATGACTTGCAGAACTTTTGGTGGTCTTTAACGAAGAGAAAGGCTATGCCATTATAAGCCATACCTTACAGCATGTACGCCGTGAGCGTTATACGACAATGAACGTTCGTAACACACACACACATTCCATCCTGCTTCAAAACCAGCTAGACTGGCCAGCCGAGTGGCAAGGCTGAATGCCTGCCCCACTGAATTGAGCCATCGGGTACTTACGCGAGTTCAAGCCGCGGCGCCCAGATAAACCTTCTGGACATTCAAACAGGAGCGGGGCGACACGGGGAAGAACTGACGGTCTCAAGCAGCGACTCCGGTGAACCAATGACAGGCAGCCGGGCGGCGATGGCTTTATAGCGTCGACCCACCAACCCGCGGCGGCCCCCGCCCGGCGCAGAGGTGCAAACTCGGTCCCGCACCCGACCCCGGCCCACCGGATGTCACGCCCGGCGCTGCTGCGAGATGTCACGCGCCGCGGAGCGCGTGCTCGCAAACACGACTGTAAGCGTGTCGTACGGAGACGTGTTTGGGGTCGGCGGGGGAGACGGCTGAACCTGGGCTGGTCGTGGCTTACGCCGTGGGCGCGGTGGTGGCTAGTTTGCACGTCTGCTGGCGATCATGTGTGGTCAGCCGGTCACCGCGTGATCAGGACCCCGAGTTTCGGGACCGGTTTGCACTGTACGTGCCTGGGTTACGAGGATCGCATTTCGGGGAAGTGTGGGGCGGGACGCGAGGCTTTTCTATCTCGCCTCGACAGCGTTATTGGTCGGGCAAGTGGGTACAGTACGTTTGAGGTAATCCGCGATCGATGCGGCAGCAGATTCTCGTGTTACAAACCTAACGCAATCATGAACGATCCTGGAAGAAGCTGTGTGTTTACGATTTAACTTATAAATATGCGGGCGGAGCTGATATGTCGCAGTAAGTTCCCAAACAACGTATGCCACTACGCACAATTACGTAGTCGTACAAGCATGGAGGAACTGTTTGCATGACAGGCAGTGTCATGTGTCAGTGTCTGTGTCATGCACACGCAACTGTGTGCATGACATACAGTGCACTACTGGCTTCGTAAGAATGTCTCGTCTTAATAGCGTTTCCATTCCGTATGCCAGCTTGCAAGCTGTTTATTTACGTTGTGTGCGGACCTCCCATTCAGCACCCTCTGACTGAATGGCGCCCCGTGTAGTGGGAGCTGCTCTCAAAAGTGAGCTGCAGTGATAGGGACTCCAGTCGCATGTCACGGGAGACTGGAACGCTCATTTCTGGCGTTCGCATTATCGCCATCCTATCATCAGCGGGAAATAACCCGAATCAGTGAGAGATTGACTCCACGTATAGGCATATCAGAAATTCCCCATCGCCGTCCCACTGGTAACGCATACCCACGACCAATCCCCTGGTTGGAGGGACAGGAGTCACGCCCCTCGCTTGGCCATCGGGTAAGCTGTTATCCATCGGCACGCACCCTTAAACTGCACACGTTTTGAATGTGCCGACCTTTCAGTGTTTCAGTGGGTCGCGGCGATACCTTCCCTCTCTTAAAAACACCGACCCTGTTTTTCCGCCGAGTCCGACGAGATTGGTAACGCGACGGTCCCAACTGCTTAGCTGGCGACGATCAGTGCAGAGCACGTTTCAGCTAACCCTCCACACAGAGATTCAGGACGGTGGACAATGCATGTCGCCGCGCTTGTCGCCATGGCAGGCACGACATAATCTGCTCAGTACTTAGAAGCATGCATGGTATACGGGTACGACTCATCTGAATGCGGTTATTATTATGTTAAACCGCCATTTACCACGAGACCCCTTTTCAAAAAGCTTGCGATAACGACAAACATGACAGAAAACTTCCGTAAAACGTGCCCTGAGCTCCCTAAGGCGATGGCAGGGTCAAGCCTGAGACCTTGCAAATATGCCAGGTGCTGACGTGCCCGCAACTCTGGGATTTTCTGCACCTTCGTGGTCAGGTTGACCGATGTTAATCTAGAATATTGTTCATCTCCATCGGTCTGACATATTGCCAATGAATATCAGTGCCAGACACTTCGAAACCTGTAGTTGTTTTTCCCACTCATCCCTCATAAGAGACAATGCCGCTCTGTCGTTGCTCCGCTCAGATTGATCACGGATGACCTGCCCTATGACCTAATTGAGAGAACAGGGTGGTTTTCAACTTTCTGTGTTAACGTGTGCAGCAGAAGTATTTATAGTCCTCTCGCATGCTACGAGATACACCTACAAACACGAAAAAGCATGTGGACGTCGATGATGTTCGTAACGTCTCTCATGCATTGAACGCTGGCTTTCCTTCATGAATGAGCAAGGTATGAACCAATCGTATACCCTAAACGCTTGACTGTGTTCTCAAACTCGAAGGAAATACAACAAATAATTCGAAAAACTCAAGGTAGGACCTGTTCCCATAAGGTAGATTTTAAAATTTATATGCTATTGTGAACCTTAGAATATAACTGAATAACTTGATTTATGTGACAATATATAGACTGAGCGGCCGTGACTCAAAGCATGATAAGAATCCAGAGTGTGGGATGTTTACGGGACACTTTGCGCAAGACCTTTTTACTCTGAGGCATTCTAAGAGTTTGGTCTATCTTACCGTCGCAAACTTTTCGTACATTGTAAAAAGGAGGGCCATTGGACGACAGTAATGTGGCGAACAGATGGTATTACAATAACGCCGTGAATCATGGTAAAATGACATACAAGAACAATCAAGGACAGACAAAAGTAGTGCCTGAGGCCCATATCGAGCATGTGTTCTGGACTACCCTGAAAAGGGCAAGCTGCTGACATTTTGGTTTACGGAAGGTTTCAGATCACGGATAAAATCCCTTCGTTAGTGCTTCTATGCAGTCGCATCTCGTAAACAAATATATGTGCAAATGCTCGTTATGCGCTCTCTGATTCACCTTAGTCCGTCGTTTACTTCGCTGATCTAAAGCAACAAAAGCAGCAGGAGAGGCGCTGCTATGCAAAACTACGCTTGCAGTTATCATGCTCGCATACTTTGATTGGGAGTCATCCCGTGAAATAATGCGAAGGAGCATGAATGATTTCTGAAATGACGTGAACAGTGCTTATTGCAGTGCTCGACGTGCTTATTTTGGAAACCCCTTGTTCTGCGGCTCGGTTTAGTGTGTCTGTGTCAAGCGGGCGGTCCAGTACCCGACGGTTCGCTCCCTGTTCCGTACCCATGTTAGACCGAGTCTGAAAAATGTCACCTGAAAGTTGTCGATTGCATCTCCATAGATATCCTGACCCATGCACGTTGTTTTGTAATGAGTGTATGTCGTCGCGCATCATTGAAAAGGCATTCACCAGCCAAATATAACTGAAGGATTGTATTCAGAATATGGAAAACGGCTAACAATAGCGGCTAACTAGAGCAATTCAAACGCGAACCAAGAATTACCTCAGGAATGTCGTTGGTTTAGGTGCTATCCGTCGCATATCAAATGGTAGGTCTCAGTAACGCATGCACGAATAAAAACGCTGCTTGTTGAGATGCACCCGGACCAATCTTGCAAATAACAACGCACACCAAATGATACCACTAGATTCAAGCAAACACCAAGAACATTTCTGTCGTGTCCATTCCTGGTTTACCCCTGCCAACCCCTCCCTGCGCTTACCTGAGCCGCTATTTACATGGACGGAGGCCTCTCAGGCTGCTCCAGCCCTTGAGCGGGGAGTCGTGATCAGACAATAGCGGCTTGACACTAACAGCCCGCAGTTGACATAGCACCTGTCTAGTTGCCTCGTCGAGCCGACGGCCAATGGCTTGCTGCCTGCTGAACAATAAGACTCGCGTCGCCGACAGGCCATATCGAGCGCTAAGCCTACCACCTGCTCTAAGACGTTGTCTCTGTCTGGGTAGTTAATTGACGACTATATCGAGAGCCCTTACAAAAAAGGAGGGCCTACTATAGCCCTCATTGAGCTGCGATATATCGGGATTAGTTCGGAGAGCTTGGCCCTCCGCCAGTATATGAGGTAATCCCAGTGCAATCGTCCTGTACGCGATCGTTGCTGCTGGAGTAAGTGGACGGATGATACCAACAGTACAGTGGCTAAGCTGCGCGTCTGGGAAACTAGAGGTGCGGATTTCCGCGATGTCCGCCCCTCCTGCCAGGGTGAGGCAGGCGACGCCATGCAGCCCCAGCAGCTGAGTGTTTCATAAAGCTGAAATAATGTCAGGTGACTGATGACCAGACGATAAACGATAATTCTCTCAACACCTTTACTGGGAACTGGTGTCAAACTAACTGGCTTATAACTTATAGGATCATTGCGCGATCTGCTATGAACAGAAGGTTAGGATATGAATTTACTTTTTCCATGCCGAGGGCAAGAAATCCTTCTGCAATGGCCGACAAAATTGGCTTGAAGTGGCGCAATCCTCACGAGAGTCCTCACAAGAATCCAGTCGATATGGCTGGAAGAGATGTTAGCCCATTGCATACCTGGTTCATCCATTTATCGATAGCAGACCATCCGAAACTGCACATCTAAATCAAAATTCTGCCGTTCACTTTTGATTACATTCTCGAAATCGAATAAAATACAACAAATAAGCCGCAAAACAAGCCATATCCAGGCAGGCATGCGCTCTTCAGGCGAGTTGCTAAATTAATACGTCATGGTGAATCCACGGTTAATCGATGTGAGGTCAGCTACAGAATATGATTAAAGGCCTAGCATAAGTCTGGAGTTGGCGACGTTTATGGGGTTAATTCATGTAAAACCTGTTTATACCGAGACATTTTAATAGGGTTGTCTATCTTACCCTCGCACATGTTTCGTGCACTGTGAAAAACAGGACACTCGATGACAACAATATGATGAACAGATAGCAATACAAGTGGATCGATGATGGCTAATAAGAGTAACAGGGCGATCGTGCACTGTAAATGCCAATTCGTTCATTTCGTCAATCCAAGGATCGTGCGGTTGAAGTGTGCGCCTGAGCTGCTATCTTAACGAACAAATTGATCTCCCAACGCATTTAAAGGCACTACTGCGATGCGTCACCGTTTCGTCTAGCCATTGTTTTCGTCAGCGTTTTCGTCTCGTCGCGTGACGAGTTCCATCTTGAACAAACGTTCTTCGCTACCATAACATGGGTCGGCTTATGGCGTTTTGTCTTTGGAAGTTTGCAGCTCACGAATGAAAATCCATTCTTCAAGCTTTCTTCTCACGTGCCGTAGGCACTAGCACAATATTTTCCCCGCATTGGTAAAAAGAGACCGACGATGGTGATGCTTTGTTCATACCACGATAGGCTGCGTT